GAACTCCTCCTTCATCTGATTCTAGTCCGGCTTTTCATACGACATATTCTGCCAAAGGCAGCACCATTACAGACTGTCTTACATGAATCCAGCAAGATGTAATGAAGGCATTGGCCAGATCAGACATCTTGGGGAAACAGGCATAGCTGGCATTCTACTATGAAAATACACTGACAACTGCTAATGAAACCAAGGCATATTGGCATAGGACTGAGTTAAGTGTACAGAAGCTGTGAAATTAAGGATTTAGAGGAACTGCAACACCATAGCATAATTATTAAGGCCTAAAGAGTGATGGAAAGAGGGCCAATAGAGCACAGTGGATAGCGTCAGACTAGAATGTAGGCAACCTGAGTTCAAAGCCCCACTCAGGCATGAACACTCACAGCAGGGGGAGGTAGCAATGGTAAAGCAGTCCTTGAACATGTCACATACCTTGAAACCCCTATTAAGAAGTGAATTGATGACATGTAACAAAAAGAGATGGAGAAGCATTTCTTTTGATTCAAAAGCTCTTCATGTAAGCATAAATTTCACACTTCTTCAGATTCACTGTAGGACAAAGGACACCTTGCTATTTATAAGAGTGGTGTGCTTTAGGGAATAAGACTGTGTATGTTTTAAAAACAGAAATGACTAAAATGCATATAATTGAAAAATATACACAAACACATTTCTGTCAGTGGGAATTAGTATTCATTAAAAATGAGGGTGTGTGTGGAATCTGTTATTGGTTTTCCATAGTTGTCTGGTTGGCCACTATGAGAAGAGAATACAGTACGAGACTTAAATAGACCCTTGGTTCAATCCAGTCATGGCTTTCCCCAACTTCTCTATAAACGAAGGTCAATAATGGTTTATGTTGCTTCCAAGTAACTGGGGATTCCCACCTCCTGTTACGCCCTTGCTCATAGTTAAGGTATTACATATGCAGCAAGCCAAAAGGTGTTATTAGCCCCTACCCTTATCAATTTGTCTCCCTGCGAGTACTAACAGGAGTCATGGGGACATCTGTCAAGCTCCTGTCAAGCTTTCCTGGTTGCCAAGAAGCAATCTGCATTGCCAACCTGCAGGTTACCAAACAAACGGTTTTGTAGACACCTGTCCCAGATCATTTGTCATGAACAGAAGGCTTTATTTTGTCAGCCACCATGAAGCTTCTTAAGATGAGCCATACAGCAACAGAACAAGTTCAATGATACTGTTCACAAGGCATATGGTGAAATAGGAGCTGGAAAAAAAATTCTAGGGTCGGCCGTACAGAACAGGAGTACGCAACTTGGCACTTAATACTTGATGTTAGTCCAGCATACATGCGCAAAGAAGGCAGAACTCGCACAAGGAGAAAGTAATAGTTATACAGTATTCTCTTAGATAGCTGTGTTGCAATATGCATGTCTGCCACTTGAACAAAGGAGAGTTCTTACAGGAAGCAAACACTGAAAAGAGGGAAACAAGGCTTGCAAGTACACAGCTGTGCTAACTAATGTTTGAGGTAGATAAAGATATCAAAACTCTTATGAAGCAAGGATGTTCGTTGCTTGCGCCCTGAAGTTCACAATAACCTGTAGCTAATGGGGACTGATCCATTTCTATTTATTCATATCCAGGTGTTATACCTTAACTGTTTTCAAACAACAAGCTGCACCAAACAGGGAAACAAACCTACCTCATGGTTGTTGTGGGTTTTTCGAGCTCTTTGGCCTTGTTCTGAAGGTTGCTCTTCCTGACGTTTCGCCAGTCTCGGTGGCCGGCATCTTCAGAAGACTGGAGTATGGACTACAGAGCTACAGAGCATGGACTGAGTTCGTACTTCAGTCCTCTGAAGATGCCGGCCACCGAGACTGGCGAAACGTCAGGAAGAACAACCTTCAGAACATGGCCAAAGAGCCCAAAAAAACCCACAACAACCATGAAAAACATTTGTTTGTCTAACATTCCATAACTCTTTTATTTTTATTTTTTGTTATACATGCTTAAACAGACCAACATGACTATCTTGTTGAAAACTGCTAGCATGTCGGAGAGAGACTGGGCTTTGTTCAACTCTTTGCCTGATCACAGCTTTTCTTTAATCAGAGAGCTTCTGTGTATCAACACCTGTAAATATGGATTCTTCTATCTGATTATATCTGTATACCTGATTACTCTGTAATGCTCAGATCATCTGTTTTTAGAGCTAATTTTATTAAAAAATGTAAACAACCCATAACTTTTAGACACAAACTACTATACAGTAAATAATCTCCATAGACATTATCTATTGTATACTGGGTTGTATGAGTCAGTATTAGAGATGTGGGTACAGTGGGGTCTCTACTTAAGAACGTCCCTACTTAAGAACAATCCAACTTAAGAACAGCTCTATTTGCTAAATTTTGCTTCTACTTGAGAACAGAAATCCAAGATAAGAACAGGAAAAAAAACCTTTCCTGCTCTTTTTTTAACCTTAGGTCATCTTAGGTTAAAAAAAATTCTCCCCCTAGTGGTAGAGTACGTATTAACCAGCTTTGCATTAGTTCCTATGGGAACTAATGCTTCAATGTACGAACGCACCTCTACATAACAAAAAAACAGCCAGAACGGATTAATTGGTTTTCAGTCCATTCCTATGGGAAATTTTGCTTCAACTTAAGAACGTTTCAACTTAAGAACACCATTCCAAAACAGATTAAGTTCTTAAGTAGAGGTTCCACTGTAGTTTCTATGGACGGAAAAGAGCAGATACGGATTAAATGGTTTTCAATGCATTCCTATGGGAAATGCAGATTCAACATAAGAACTTTTCAACTTGAGAACCACCTTCCAATACAGATTAAGTTCTTAAGTAGAGACCCCACTGTATTC